AGCTTTAGAGCCTTCTCGGCCGCTTTCGCGGCCTTTGCGGCCTTGGCCGCTGCCCGGATGCTGCTGCGGGTGGTGGCCGTTTCGGCCGCGGCGGTCACTGAGGCGCCCGGCGCTTCGGCCGACGGCGGCTCGTTGTCGTTGGCGGTGGTGCTGCTGCCACGGGCCGAGGGGTTGCCCGCGTTGACGGTCGTGTTGACCGCCGCCTTCCAGGCGTCGTTGTTCATCGAGCGGAGCAACCTCTTGACGCGACGCTTGTTCACGCACCAGTCCTGGTTTTCATTTCGTTTTATCGGCGTTCGTTGTCAGAAAATACGGACAGACTGTATGGTTTGATTTTGTATTTGAGAGGGAAAACGTTGTTGCGTATGAAATAGAAAATATCCTTAAGAACACACAAGAGAACTATTGTACCCGTTCGAGATAAAGCCACAGCAGTCGGAGGGGATGTGTTACGTCTTGCGTACGATGACGGGAGACATCGAGATATCACTCCTCTATGGAGCTCAGAGAAAAGTGGGGAAAAATGTGTAGGCCTAAATCAATGAACTAAACATCCAGTTTGTCGTGGACTCGATGTCTGTTGATACAGAAGTGACATGAACTTGTGAGAAAACAAAGGCGAAAAGAGCTTGGATAGCAGCAGCAACATCGTTGCAGGAACCTACATCACGGCAATTATCAGGCACACTGTGCGAGAATGCCAAGCAAGGGCTCGTGTTGTTCATCGCCGTATCTTGTCTTTCGTGACGACTTCGAGCCGAATAATTACCAACGGGTTCCGGCATGTACCGACACGTGTTACATATGTCTACATACATACACCTTCGATGAACTCTTTTCACTCGAAGGCAAAGAGCAACGTGCCGCGCGTGGGCTGCGTCTCTCACGGCAACTTCAAGTAGAACGGCGTCCCAGTATGTGTCACGTTCGTGAAGCAGGAGACAGCATGTGTATGAGGAGAGGCACTGAACGAGCACAAGGATCGGAAAAAATACAAGCACACGAAAGGGCCTCGTGCTGATCCGCAACGCAGCAACAAAATGATTTACCCCGTCCCTCCTGTAGCATACACACACGGTAACGGTTTTTTTGAGAGGGTGCTGCCGCTGCTGCTGTGCATGTGTGTGCGTGTAGAAAGAGAAATAAACTCACGGCCGCTTCCAGGCACACGCGCCAACAGTCACGGCGGTACGCAACAGCAGCACCACTAGCACCAGCAACAACAAAAATCCAAGTGCTGGCTGCTTGACTGTTGCGCCGTCGTCGGATCCAAAAATCAAATCACGCTTACATGGATACTGCTGTATAATAATAAGGCCGGCGTGCGTACCACGTGGTCTCTGAGGTCGAGTAAAGATAGACAGACGCTGCATGTATGCATATTGTCCCGGTCGGGCAGCAATCCGACCAAATACGAGAGGGGAAGAGGCCTCACGAGGGTAGGTTTAGGCGGGGGGAGGAGAGACCTCGAGGAAATCGGACTATCCCACGAGTACGCGTCCCCCCAGGGGTAGACAACGCATACCAGGTACAATTTATCGAACTGCCGAAAACAGCAGAACAAGCGGCGTGTTGTGATGAATCAACGCTTCTTTTTGGTTGCTCTCTTTTATTTAGATAAACCGTGTGCTGCAAATTTGCTGTTAGATGATGACATACATCAACACAGCAGGGTTGCGTTGTTATTTTCGCCAGCTCACCGGCCGCATCTTCTGTACAGCCGACGTGATCCTCGCCGGGTTGACCGTGGAGGTGCTGACGGTGGCATCCTTGATAGCTATGGTCAGGGTGCTGTCATCGGGGAGCATCGCCATGTTCTCTGCCGAAAACGCAAGCAACAACACGAGCTTGTCAGGATTGAAGAGCGGCGGAATTCGAGAAAAAGTCGAGGCACATTTGACCATTTTTCACCAGCTATTAGCAGCAGCAAGTGGCCCCGAAGGTTGTTTCAGCCAGCCCGTTAGCTTTTGCTCACGCAGCACGATTGCTGCATCTTCGCTGCTGAGCTGCTTCTCCCTGTGTCCCTGCCACGGCGGAGCCGTCGCTGGGCACTCTTCGATATGCAACAGATAACGGCAGCTCACATTTCAGAAAATATTCTCAGCTGATTCGGTGTGTGACGTTGTTCACCTAACCCGCCAACCCCACTGCTGTCGATGAATACAGCTCTCATCCCTACACGACGACACGCGGAATCCGTCCCCCTCTCTCACAGGTGCAGATGCCTGCTTACCTGAGGTTCGTGAGCTGCTGATTGGTAGTCTTTGGGTTGATTTCGATCGCGGATGTGTGCCGCTCTCTCCTCGGTTTTTCCGTGAGCCTCTTTTTTTTCTTTTTGTTTTTCCCGCTCTCCCGATCCCCTCCCCCAACTCTGTCCACCCCCATTGGCGATCCCCCCATATGTCCTCTCCTCCAAACAAACCTCTCGGCAGCTCGGGGAGTTTCGCACAGCAGTTCGGCACCAGTACGGACGGAGGAGCAAACAGTGTGCGCGTGCAGCAGGGATTGAGGCTGACCCCGAGATACCTGACCGCAAATATATTGCACCACTCGCTTGGAGATCTGGCCAGCGCGCGCACGGTGAGCTGGTGAGCTGGAATTTCACTTGTTCTAATACATGCGAAACTTCAACTCGACAGCAGTATTAGTATTGTAGTGTCCAAGTATTTGCAAATGTGACATCTTGCGTGTGTGCATGCCACCCATTTGCTAGCTTGGTCACACAGCAGTGCAGTGGGTTCCCTCACAACCTTCTGACGTTTGGACGTGGGTTCGAATGAACTGGAATGTTTTTTCGCAACATGCCCAAACAAATGTGGAGCGATAATTTTTCATGGGCACACCACAAGCGTACTTCGCAGGTGCTGCGCATAGAGTGCTGATGTCGACGAGAATGGAACAGCTGATCTTCTCACGATAAAACTCAAAGGCAAAGCCCCGCAGAACGAAGGGGGAGAATACCACTTCTGCGTGGCCTTGCTCCTGTGCGACCCCGGCTAGTGCGTCCAGAATTACCGAAAGGTGTCGAACCGATGTCCATACGACATTATTTTTGTATGGTGCAGCAGTATCACTTGGGTGAGCGCCAAGAGCATTTTCTGCCGGGTAGGAAAGGGGTACTGCTGTAGGAGCTCCAACCCGTGGTCACACACAAGGGTTCCTCTCCCTGAGGCCCCCCACCCACCCCACCCACCTTTCACCCATGCATACCATCTGCATGCCGTCCGTGCGCGCCGCAATCTCTCCTTGCGAAAACAGCAGTCGCACGCAGAACATCACGCACAGCTGCATACAGAACGCGCCCCACACACTCACTCTTATTTGGCCGAGGCTCGTTTCTTTTGTTTGGCTATGGGATACCCCCAAGGCGACTATATAGGTTTTAGTGTAGGATCCATGGCTGAGCACCTGTTGTAATGGCCAAGTTCTTAGATTTTGGATTTTTTTAGGCTCAATCTCAATCTTTACGTTGCTGTGCTGCTTACATATACACCACCTTCTCAGGTGGGTGGAGTAGTACTGTTTCTCCGCGTGCATCTTCGTAGGCGCCCTCGAACCGAGAGGCAGACCAGTCTACGAGACCTTGTGCGTACTGCCGCATCGTGCCTGCAACAATGCTTTGAAGTAGATGTTCTGTCGGACGAGTTGTGGTGCTACGCGTAGATACTTGCCTTCCTACGTTGGCTTGCCACTGCTGCTACTAATGCCGAGCTCGGGCTCTGAAAATCCTTTTTCCTGCTGGAGGAGAAAACATCCTTCAAACACTGCTTATTGAGCCGTTCAAGACAAAAACGAGATGTGAGTAAATCAATCGCAATTGAGCATGCTCACGTTCCGACGGAAAATTCTTCCAACCCTCGGAATAAAGGAGGAACCGAACTCGAAACCGCCGCCGCCACACGAAAATTCCGCCGCCGTTGGAAAGACCAGGCCCGACATCGCCATGAACGCGGCAATGGCGCCGGCTGACTCGCCGCGGCGACTCTCACCATCGCCGAGCACGAGTCACGCGACGAAACGCCCTTTGTCTGTACCCGAAGACCCGACGGAAGCATTGGCTGCGCACGTCAAGAAGTGTCGAGTGAGGTCAGTCGGGGGGGGGGGGCAATGCAGGCTCACATTCCCATTTCCGCTACGCCCGTGATTGTTGGGGTTGCGACCGGTTTCGAGGCGCCCAAGACTTCTTCACAAGCGATCTGGATCTATGAGAGTCTGCCGAGGACTTTGACGAGATGTTTCCTTGACGAGATGTTTCTAGCACATGGTATGCCTAGCATGATTCCCCAAGTGGTCTACCTTCTTCCTGTCGACAAATCTTGCGTCAAACTCGAACCTCACTCTAGTGAGTAATGGTGTCTCTTTTTTGCATTGACCGGGCTAGTGGATAGACCAAAGAAAATATGCATGCCATGGCTGGATGCGTTTGTGTTTAATATGCGGACTACGCTCGATGGTTGGCCGAAGAAAACACACGTAAGGGCGAAACAACAGGAACGCTTACTGGTCCGAGGTTTCCCCTGGTCGGACATTTGTGTGTTTAGTACTGCAGCAACCAGGTTGCCCCCGATAAGACCACTGGCTTCGGCGACCGTATGCAACTATGCCCTGTTCGTGTGTGTACTTGTTGATTATGGTACGCAGCACTACCCCGGGAGAGCTGAGGTTGAAGAGAGACCTTGTGGAGTGCGACCTGCTTCTTCAGGAAGGAGTTGCAAGGTGCATTTGCGCTTAGGGGAGAGGAATGGTGTAGCTTCTGTTGTTGGGAAAATTGTTTGGTCATCCCAGCACATCGCTTCCAGAGACGAGAACCGGGAGGGATGGGTCCTGGAAACCCTGCGGTACGCGTATCGTAGCCGGTTAGAGAGCGGGGAGCATGCACAAAGGTTGGTTTCATACTGAGCTGCCTGCTGTGTTCATACACGTCGTGTAGAGCACGTACTATGTTTGCTATTTCGCCCTCCCGCAGACTGCTGTGGATGAAAGACGTTTCGCTCGTGCATCACACCTCCCCGATTGTGCATCTAAAACATTGCGAGTTCCGCTGTTTGTACTTTGCCAGAACACAGAAACGCCCACGTTGGTAGTGCATACCAGAAAACCAACTCTTCAGCGCAGTTTGTGCGAACACCCCTCCCGTCGGCCGCAGTTCGTAAACTTGTACCAGTAACGCCATCGTATCCGGGTGTCATGTCCATGTCCACGACAACCGAGCCAATTGAAAACACGGCCGACTCACGGATGGCGGCTGTGGGATGTCGTCTCCCTAAGAAGGCCTCCCGTCTTAGACGATTAGGTACGCACGTCATCGTGTATCTTCGTACGTTTCGCCGCCTGCACTTGGATGCCTTCCGCCTACCCAGTGGAACGCGGGTCGGGGTGCCACCAAACATGGACTTGGGGAAAATGGCATGCCATTCGTGCACGGCTCTTGACCTGTTATGTGTAGAGAAAGCGGAACGACGCGTTGGGCACACCCTCACGAATGTTGGCTATGGACGAAGGCCATCGTAGCGCCCAAACCTTAGTTTCGCCTTCACATCACACCAAGCCCTCAAGCTTCACGCCGTGCGACAGGTTCGATAAAACGGCTGGGAATCCTCTAAAATGTCAGCTTACTTTCTTATGCTCGATGGAGGGGGGCATGGGGGGGGAGGGGACAGCACCGTCAGGTGCAGCGGGGGACACACCGACGGCAGCTGGAGAACGAAGGGTTCCAACCACCTTCTCAGTCGTCGTGCCCAAGTTTTACCCTCACGACCCACCGCTCGTGTACGCTGAGAGGTGTGAAGCTTCTCCTTTTTCAACAAGGTCCATCTACACTCTAGTTTTAGCCTTTCATGTTTTGCTGAGTGAAAAGTGCATGAAAATACTACTGTCCCTTTATATTTAGGACACAGCAGAAAATGGAGCCTCCCGTGTGAGCACTTGTCACGCACGCCGGTTTCCTGTAGGCAAACTGAAGCCCAGCTGCGAAGGCATTAACGCAGGCCTTGGGGATCCTCACACATGTTAGGTAGTTTAAATCGTTTCTTCTAGTGTCTGGATCACGTGGAGATCCATTTGGTGGCAAACAATCAAAACAACACCCTTTAGGTGAGGTCGTGACCCATTTGTACTGCTGGTGCCTAGTCGCCAGAGACGTAGCTGCCCGTGGACACCGCTGCAGGAGAGTCGGCAGGCTGCCGGGCAACCGGGCAAGTTGATGTGCCCCCGGAACCCGCAAGGGGTCTCCGAGCATGCGCATTGAGAAACGACCGCAGTATTCGATTGGCTGCTGCTGCAGTTTCCGTGCGAGACTTGAGTCGCGAAACGTGTTACCTTCAAAACTTGCTACAACAGGTGTTTCAGCAGGACTTGCTCGTTCGTTAGAGAAGACGGGATGCTGCAGGTCCCTTTCTTGACGACCGGCGTTTGGAGTTCCGTGAGCACGATGACCTTCGTCGCACGAACCCTGCTTCAGGTAAAGTGCGATGGGGACCCCACACCCCAGACCCCTGCGTCCCAATCGGCAGCAACACTAACTACAGCGTTCTTTACAGAAAATATGAACTATTCATGCCTTGAAGCCAGGCTCTCTTCTCGCCGGGGGAAAGGCTTCAGATGAGGCTCGAGGCTGCCCCCCGGCTATTGCAGTTAAGTGCTCGGAATGGAAGTCCAATTCTTGTCTGACTCCAATTGTTTCAGGGGCTTCGCGATTTCGTTGCCGGCAAGCCGCAGCCATGGGGGAGCCCAGTTGGGTCCTCACCAAAACGGAATCGCCACCTTCGAGGGGAACAAGGCATGCCCGACCCTGTTGCGTTTGTTGCGTGTTCCACTGCGGACGACATCAACGAATCGGCACGGACTACACCACGTTTCGCCAGTTCCGGGAGCAAAAGCGGGAGTGGGGAGGCAGACGCAATACCTGGCTACGCGATGTGGATGGCAAAGGAGGAGGCGTCACTTGAGGGGGGTACTCGGGCACCGCCGAGAAGAAGTGGTGGATACTTTTCAAGCGCAGTGGGGCAACAGGAGGACGAATGTGGAGGCACGGCGATGGATGTCGTGGATTCGCGGTGATTTTGCGTGGGTGGCACAATCACGCGTGTTGTAAGCAAACCCAGTTGTTTTGAGACGCGTATTGTTACCATCTTACCCCGTTGTACTGTATGGACCTCGGTGTTATTTCTTGCCTACATGGCGCTTTGAACGCAGAGCACAACGGCGTGCATTCGATTCGTCTTCAGCAGTGTGGACTTCGGACAAGGGTGTCCATGGAGCACCCACCCACACGCATTCGACAACGTTTCGTCAGCCAGAAGAGCATTGCGATATATGTCCAGGGGGAACGAAATTGTCTGGCATATGTCCAGGGTTTCCACACCTTGGATGTTCACCTCGACGCAATTTGAAATCATGACGTCGAATTCCCCTGAAACGTGGCCGGTTTAGTTGGGGCTCCGCGCGCCAAAGGCTGGTTCCGTTGAGTTTGAGAGCCGTGAGTGCCTCACCAGCAGGCCGTAGACACTGTCTGGCAGCGGTTTAACCAGGCCACTGATTTGATTGTGGCAGAAGATCCTTGCTTGGCCGATTCTTGACTTCGGCCAGAGGGTAGAGTTGGAAGTGTTTCGTCCTCACCGATCATGCATCGAGGAGCCAGTGAACGTTTGGGCCGGCGCTGGGAAGAGCGGTGGCTTTTGCGACAGATCTGTGGTGTGCCGTTGGTTTCGTTTGGTCCCGATCTTTCCCCACCAATCTGTGGGGAGCTGGTTTGAGAGAGTACATACCACCGCACGTCGTTGGTCACTCTCGGATTCGCGGTGGACGACTACTACTGGGGCGCGTCGGCTACTTCCAGCTGACATATATGTTTTGGTGCCGTCGCCGACTCCAAAGTCATGTCTCCTCCGCGGCTGGCCCCACAACAACTGGGGTATGCATCCTCCTACTGGAAGTCACCTTCGGTCCCGCTGAGGTGCTCCGAACAACACGTATGGGCAGGGCAGACGCTGGGACCATACACTGCTGTGCGCGCTACGAGAGTCCACTGCGATAGACCGGCCGCGAGCGTTCCTTATGCTCGGTCGCCACATAACCGTAACAAGTAACGATGCCGTCGCCGGCACAGCAACCGATCACCACAGGCAAGGGCGCGGCAGGCCACAAGGCAACACTATTTCAAGCCAAAGCAGCTGGCTGGTGGAGGAGCGAAAAGCTGACCAAAGCGGCTTTCGCGGCTCCATCGGCTGAGCAGTTCGCTTTCAAGGTGGCTCTACAGCAATTCTCCAACAAGTTAGCACCACATGGGGCAGCAAAAGCTCTCTGACAGCAGTAGTGGCCAATTAAGACGTGATTAACACAACACAACAGCCAAGTCTCCGTCCGCTCGGCTCGGAAACACGTAACATGTCAAACATCTTGTCCCACTTCACCACCCCCCCTCTCTTCACTGGCAACTACGTGCAATCCTGTTCAACATCCCAAACGATGAACGTAACCTCGAACGGCGGCTACCAGACATCCAAAGCATACGTGAACCGCAGCGGGGAAAACCCCTGCTACCGGCGTGCGTCTCACGGGACCAATCACTCGAGGGGCACTATCCCGCTACCTCGAAACATATCAGCCAGCGGACAACAAACAAGCGCGGAGAAGACCATGGTTGCCCATGTTTGACACCAATGAGAACGGCGTGTTGACCCACGGTTAGAGTGCAGACGCCTCCTCAAAGAGGGTACACGAACAAGAGAGCAGGCAACAGCAAGAGCCTTTCGGAAAATTGGACGATCTCTGAGCGAGCAGACACCCGACACACGAGCACCACCTCTTAAAAACCTCTTCAAGCCTAGGTTCAGAACAATTTAGAACACACGAGCTTCCAGGCTTTCACTTTCCCCGTCAAACTATTTTTCAGATCAAGACTGGTTTGTCTTCTCCCACGCCAAAAGCCTTGCAATTAGGTCCTTCTTGCTGCCATGCAGGCTCTCGTCTCGTTCCTTGAGCAGCTCCTTTAGCCGAGTCGGGTTCATCTTCTTCACCTGTCCATTGTTAGTCATCCGTACGCAATTGTTGTCACATTTGTCACATACTGGAAAACCCTTACCCTAGGGTACCCATGCGGTATGGTTGCTCAATAGAAGGTACAACCGAGCAGAGATGTGGGGATACCAACAAACACAATCACGAGATGTCACTGATCAAAAATATTGAAGAAGTTAGGAGGTATCGAGTAGAGATGTGAGGACAATGGCCAACACGACAATGCAACGAGATGTCAACGACCAAACAAAACGAAAAACTGTCTAGACGAAAACCTCACGAAAACCTCAAACGTCTTGCCAGAAACCACATGCTGTACATGTAATGCATTGGCAATATGGTACACGACATCCACGTCATTTAAGAGTAACGCACACCCAAAGTACGAAACCGGTGCAGGCTTGAACAAGTACGAACACCAACACTTTCTCTCAAACGTCTGCTGCCGTCTTTGTACCTCTAGAGGGTTGAGCTTCTGGGGCCCGCCGCTGCCCGCCTTGGCCTTGGCTTCCTTCTCCATCTTGGCTTTACCCGAAGCTTCCTCGGCTGCCGCCGCCTCCGCTTTCCGCGCCTCCGCCTCCTCTCGCCTCTTGCGGACCAGCGCGAGCCGCGCCATGTCCACCTGCATACACGAGCGAGAACACGGGTTGGTGATGCGCAAGCTTTGCCACGTCTTTTCTGACGCAGAGTGTCCGCTAACAGCTCGGTATCTACTGCTGTGCCCCCGGAGCACGTAAGCCGTCCTTGCACGACTGCAGGCTCGCGGTTTGCAGGCCGATCGTATTTCCAGATGGTGTGGGCAGGCCATTTTCTTGGCGTGCAGCTGGCACACGGCACTTGGATCTCGTGGTTTCTACTTGATGCTTGCATGAAAGAAGCTAACAATCCTTACTGCGGTAAATCGCATTGTGTTGTTGATGCTTTCACCCTCATTACTTTCACGAGCACAGCGAAATAGCGGGATTCGATATGTATCTATTGTAGTAATACATAGTAATGACCACATCCCATCACTAATGACATCCCATCACCACATAAGCACAAACGACCCAACAAATACACGACGTTCGTTTGACTGTTTCGTCCATCGGGGGACGACGGCAGCGTGCAAAGGGCTTAAACTTGGCCCTGTCTCCAAGGGAACTCTGGCCTGCAGGAAACCTCGAAAACATAATTAGAACCGTCAAACACTTATCGCCCTCCATCTTGAAACCCCTACCCAACATGCTTCCAACAAGACGATGGCGCCAACACCGCATGTGCACCTGCGCCTCTTGAGTCTTGCCCTCCGCATGAAGCTTCATGTAGTGGTCCTTCTTTCTCTGGGCCTCTACCGCCTCTCTCTCGCGCCGGGAGAGCTCAACCGGCGCCGCCGCCATATCCATATCCTGCCATCAAAGACAAAAGTTCAAAGAGGCGCCGATAGAAACAAAAGGTCCGTCACAAAGGAGCTCCGAATATGTATCGACCTCTATCTACCCGCAAAGAAAAATGCTACCGAACGAGCGGTGACGAACGCGCGCCTTGTGCCAATGCACGGTCATTAGAGGTACGACGCCAAGACTGTGCGAATGGGGGCGTGGTGCTGTAGATGGGTTGTGTGTGAGCACTACGGAGTGCACGCGGTTAGAGTGCGATTGTCTGTCGCTCTTGTGGCAGGAATGGAGGTCTTTCGCGGTGGGCTAAGGGTTGACGGAGTAAGGGCCACGCGTTTGACAACTCTAGACCAGCAGATGAAGGGAGAGGAGGGTTTGGTTGAGGATATATAGTGCGAGATAGCGATCACGACACCCCGGCATCATAGCAGGGACTGAGGATTCTGTGTATAAGGCAGGAGGCACTCCTGTGCCCGGGTGCAAGTTTCAAGAATACACAAACTCATTCCCTCAGGCTACCACAATCCGTATCCTCCTGCGCGGCACTGCATGGCAAGGCTGGTGTAGGAAAACAAAGCTGAGGATCGGGAGCACACAGGGGATACACCCGTCCCATGTTTTCGGGGTGCTGAGGTTGACTTGTCACATCTCAACACTCGATGTCCTCCCCCCAATCGAAACATTGTGTGGGGAAATACAATGCTTGTTGTGCCACTCGTGGCAATGCAACAGACAGATATCCGATCTGATTTTGCTTGGAGCGGCGAGCACATGAAGACCCTTCTTCCTTCGGGGGGTACGCGGAATCATGCTTGCTCGTGCTTGAGGACCAAAGCGGGGGTAATTTCGTGTGTGAATGTTGAGCGTACGTATATATATATATATATATTCTAGGAAGGCGGGATGCGCTGCCACAACAGAGAAAACGCCGATCGTGTGTCACACGAGGAGCAGAGGGTAAGCGAGAAAGGATACTCAGCACATCTCTACCGCCGAACAGAGTCCTCGAGCGGGTACCCTCAAAGACCAAGATGCGCACATCATGACTGCTGTCGAAATGCTTCTCCCAGACTTGCATATAGCACGGTTGTGCCCACCAAGGATGCAAGTAGCAGTAGATGACGGCTACAGCAGTGCTCTAGCGGCACAGGGTACTATTGTACTGCTGCTCTGTGGTGCACCCATACTCGTGCGGGAAGAGTGCAAACCCGGCTGCAGCAGATGGGCACCGTGTACATATGTAAAACCACTGACACTAACAGGAACCAGCCTCTCCACGCATCGCATGGAAATATTAGAATATTGCCCACAGCCTCTTATTCAACCACAAGAGCGCTCCGAACCTTTGCCAGGGAATGATCGGAGCAAACTCTCTCACCTTCGCCTTCATCATCCGCCCGGCCTTGGGCTTGGCGTTCGGGTTCGCCACCTCTATCAACGAGGATACCCCCTTGGCCTTCGGCTGCTTCATCTCGACTGCCCCCCCCCCCGCCGCCGCCGCCGCCCCCCCCCGCGCGCCCCCGGCCCCCCCCGCCCCCTCCTCCCCCCCCCCCCTGGCGGCCTCCCCCCCCCCCCCGGGTTCCCCCCCGGGGGGGTCCCCCCCGGCCCCCCCCCCCCCCCTTTGGGGGGCCCCCCCGGCCCCCTCCCCGTTCTTTCGGGGTTCCGGCCCCCCCCGGGGGGGCCCCGGGTGGTGGGGCCCTCCCCCCCCCCCCCCCCCCCCCTTTCCCCTTTCCCTCCCGCGGCCCCCGGGGTGGTTTTTTCCGCCCCTGGGTTTTCCCCCCGGGCGCCTTCCCCCCCCTTCCC